CACAGACAACCTCTCGTCAATATGCGTTTTCTGCATTGCATAGCTGCAAAAAACGCATAAAAATGATTTAAAACAACTGGGAAAGTTGAAAGCTGCATAGATAAGGAAGCAGTCTCTGAATTACGGCTAATCTAAGCACTCTATATCCAGGAGGGAGGGATATGGTGAGATAAGGGTTTTACGATGTTTAAATCTAGTAAGTGTTGTAGAAATTTTAAAGATACAAACAGTGAATATTCTTGGTAAGGAGGTTGGAAGAAAACGGGATCTTCTATGTGTTAACATATGCAGTTTGTTTGATGTTCGTTGCTGGCCCACCGTGGAGTGGAGTGGAACGCAGTCGAATGTTGAATCTAGTAAATTCCGTAAACTTCATTGCTAACAGACTTGATGTAGCAGTTGATAGGATTTACTAGTAGACGTGAACACTGGCTTGTGATTGTAAGGGGGAAAAAATTAGAATTTTTAGGAATTTTTGATTTGTTTGAATTAAAAATTGAAGCTGGCATGCTTAATCTGGCAAAAAATGCATCAGTGTTTAGCTTGTATCCTCCCAGACAGCTGTTGAAGCAACGAGTCATCGCTACCGTGGCTACGGGATTGCGGGTACTGTTGGCAAAGTACTAGAATTCATGCCATTTCCGAGTGCCTTCGTTTTTCATAGCTAATCAAATGCGGGTGTGATTGATTTTGAAATACTGAACAAATGATGACAGCTTTTTACCTGGTGAAATTTGCAGTTTCAATTATGAAAGTGAACTGTATCCAGAATTCGAAAAAGTGACAAAAAAGCATAATTTGGATGTTGAAGTGGCAGCCAGTGGATTCACTTCACGTATGGCCAAAGCATACAACAAGGTAAGTAGTAGTCCTCTCATCTTTGCACGCAGTTTTTTTGCAACAGTACTTGGAACAGTGTAATTCCACAGAATTTTCCATTTATTCAATTGATAGCTTTTCCATTTGCTTTGACCAGTATTGCATTGCCTGGCGATCAGCCTGCTGACCACCATGACGTTCATTTTGTCCCCTGAAGGCATAACTAGCTCAAAGGTTTACCTGACAGAAGCGTTTTTATAAGACAGTAACCGTCTCAACATTCCTAGTATGTTTTTTGTACGACGAGATATATTTGAGTATAGGAGGCAGGAATAAAAGTGAGCTGGGAGGTTTTAATACTTCGTCTTATTTGTATCATTTTTTTACAGGCTTTAGAAACTCTTCAAGACCAGAAAACCGAAGGGGAATCATCAACGGGCAGTGATGATGATGATGATGAGGTGGAGAAAGAAGCGTCATCTGATGCTGAAAATACGGAGCAAGAATCGGAGGAAAATGTGCATAATGGTGCTGATTACAGGAGGTTAGCACTGGGTAAATTTACCCAAATCATTTTCTCGCCTTAGCGAACCAAATGAATGCATCGGCTTTTTATGCGTTTTTTGCAGCAATGCAATGCCAAAAACGCATATTGACGAGAGGTTGTCTGTGTG